GCAGCCGGCGCCCTCTCCATACCTCCCACCGACCCAGCCCTTTGGCAGTCTCCGCGCGAGCCCTTCATGGACGATCTCAATGATCACCGCGCAGGTTCACCATGAAACGGTGTGCAACGAGAGTCGCACGGCAGCTTGCCTCGCCAGCATAACTCTAACCTACCCTCCCTTCCTGTCGACACGTTATTGCGGATTAGTGCTAACATTAGCGCAGCGTCTCACCGACCAACCGTTTTTTTTTTTTCCAGTCCTATTGTACTTTTTTCACTTATTAGCTCGTTTAAGCAAAGTCTCTTTCTTGTTCTACACACCGAAAACCCGTTTATTTGCATAATGAATGACTGAAGCTTTCAGAACATATATGCAAATCCCCTTAAGCTTCACCCTTTGTTATTTGTTTCCCTGCTTGAAGGTTTTGTTAATGCTGTATATCTGGACGCCATCCATTGAAAAAAAATGAAATTTAACATTGGCCAAATTTGTGGGTATGCATGGGTCGTTCATTCAGACAGGTCTGAAACAGTAAGGTCCAGTCTAGATGGTACTTAATGTGCACGCTGCATGGCCTTGTAGAGGTGTACGTGTGTAGTAGTGCGCTGCACATGGTGAGCGCATTTTTTAATAACAAAAAGAAATGTGTATGGGTATTTATAAACTATACCCGATGACAAGCTGGCATGTCTGAATGTCCTGGTCCAAACACCTGGGTCTGGATTGCCTGTGCAGATATATTTAAATTCTTCCCAAAAGAATGCCCAAAAATTGAAAATGCTGTTGAGGAGATGCATAGCAAATTAGCAATGCAGTAATAGTTTGTTTTGGCCCAGGCATGAATGTTAAGTCGTTCATGGAGCAGACAGCCTCGGCAGACACTCGTACTTGCGCAGACATGTAGACAAAGACTCAAACCTCATGATCTCGCTGAGGCCCCTCCAAACAACTTTTCTTATTTAGAGATAGAGAACCATAGAGCGATTAACAATTAGCTCTCCGCCTCACATCCCAATCCTGTGGCCATAGCCCTACACTTTCTCCTCGTGTTGGCCACTTTCCACCTCCTGCCTATCTCTTTGCTGGCGTAGCATGCCTTCGGGCCCTACACGCTTCTGCTATGGTCTGCATGGAGTATCTTCAGGGAACGACTGCTGGGTCTGTTTTGTTCACCGCTCCTACATATTTCATATACCTTTGCCTCCCTGATTTTCCCTGGCCCGTCTGTTTTTTTGGCCTGGAGACCGGTAACCGGAAAAGTCCCTCTTTGCCTGCAGTACTCGAATAGACCCAAACAATATTTAGGCTCCTACAGAATGCAGAAATTGTAACAGCCCTTACAAAGTCTGCCGTTACATTCCCAGAAACTTCAGCCAGTCTGGGCCATCGGCATGTACTGGCCTATTTTCCTCCCAACCATTCGGTTGCATCTCCCACTCACCGTTCTGTTGCGACATTGAGTGAGGTCACGGGAGTGTGATAAATTGAGAAGCGGCTTGTGTCATGCGTTGACATCTCAAAAAACAACAAATGAAAATGGCATTCCATCCGGCATAACTGTCTCGATAATCTGGAATGCGGCCAGCATACGGGCCTCGCCACACCACTCTCGAAATGTGAAAAAGAATGTGGCGGGTGCATGTGGCGATGTTCTAGCAGGAAGTTTATTTGCACATTTCGAGAGTGGTGTGGCGATGCCCTGAGCGTCTCAAAAATCTGAGATGCGGCCGGCGTAAGCGTCTCGATAATCTGGAATGCGGCGTGGCATGCCCTCAAAACCTTAGTAGAGCATACGAGCGAAACTCAAATTCACGCCAAACACTGTGATCCGAAAATGAATTTCACCTGAGGTTTGGACAAATCTGGAAACTTTAGGGAGTTAAAGGCACGAAGTGCTCAACCTAGACATGACACAGCCACCTCTATCGTAGTGAGCCTTTATCCGGATATTTGTGATCCTCTTATCTTTGCATCTGATCGGGCAAACCTTCCAGATATCTGTGATTCTCTTATCTGGCGATGATCGATCAGATGCAAAGCGTCTGCCCACCACAGTGCATACCAGGTCAGGAAGTCAATACTCTAGCTACCCGTTCATAGGGCTGGTAAGATTGATTCAGGCTCAGACATTTAAAAGAAGAGTGTGGTATTGGTTCTGATGTAGCCCTGGTCCGCGCAGACACACACATAGCAGAGGAGTCTGGACGTCCGGTTTGGACCCAGGCAGGCTGTTTTTAGGCCAGACTTCATGACCAGGACTTGGGGCTGCATCCTGAACCATCAGTCGGTAGTACGATCGGACAACCCGCGACAGAGGCCGAGGCAGGATCCAGTAGGCCCAGCCTCCATTCCAGGCATGCAGCATTCAGGAGTGACACAGCCAGGCTGCTGGAGCAGCACTGAAGGGCTCGCTAGAGGAGAGCAGCACTGGAGGAGCTGTGCTAGAGTAGAGGAGGTAGGAGGACAGCAGTGTGGAGGCCAGGAGGTGCTGCAAGAGAGGAGACTCACCTGCTGGAGTTTGTCTTCAGTCTACTTCACCTGCAGCACAGCTCAAGACGTCTTTCGCTGGTTAGCACATGGCCACGAGAGAGAGAGAGAGAGAGGCAATTCCCCAGACTCAGACATTGTCTGGACAGAGAATGGGGACTATTATGGAGACCGCATGCCACGAGAGAGAGANGAGAGAGAGAGAGAGAGAGAGAGAGAGAGAGAGGCAATTCCCCAGACTCAGACATTGTCTGGACAGAGAATGGGGACTATTATGGAGACCGCATGTGACAGTTTGGTATCGGAGCGGAAGAGGAAGGACAGCTTACCGGCTCATCAAAATAGCATTTTCGTTCGCTGTAGTAGACTGTTGATTGATTGGTCAAGTATTTGATTGATTAATTCTTATTGCAAATTATATGTTTTAAACCACCAGAACACCCGGGGCTAAATGTACGAGCCTAAACTTTAATTTCTCCGACCCTCAAAGCAACCGGTGCCATCACTTGAAAATTGAGGTCGGTACCGGTACCGGCCGCTCTTGGATTGAGTGCTGGACCTGCTGCTGTCACATGGAACGAAGGGAAGGCCGCTGTTTTCACTCATGTGCCAAGCCATTGAGTGCTGGACCTGCTGCCGTCACATGGAACGAAGGAAAGGCCGCTGTTTTCACTCATGTGCCAAACCATCAGATTCGTCCAGTGCTGGCCGTAACTCTCGACAGATACATTCAGGAAGTGCAAGTGCGAGTATGCCCTTCAAAATAGCGGCCTGACACAATGATTCATTTCCTGTCCGACTCCTTCATGTCGGCCTCCCGCCTCTTACGGCATGGAGGCGGACAAACGTGACTTCAAAAAGGGCGAACACAAGGAAAGGAAAATAAAAAAGGGCAGAGACTCACGCTACGACTTCTTCTACTAAGCTTTGGACGTGGATGTAGGCAGATTCATCCGCTCATCGCCGTGTTTACAGTCAGATACATTAAGAAAAGTGCTTGCGTTAGTATGCCCTTCAAAGAAACGGCCTGACACTCTGATTCAATCACTCCCCCGTTCCCCAGCAGGGAGACGTGACTTGTGATCTCGGCAGACCCTTCTTTCCAATAAAAAATCAAGAAAATGCAAAGAGAAGAAAACATGACGGGGAAGAGTCGTGATTGCAAACAGATTCATCCAGGGCGGTCCGCAACTGCTGGCAGATGCATTGATGTAGCTGTAGCCAGAGTATGTCGTGAGCATTGTGGACTTGAGATTTGATTCGTTGGGCTAGATACTCGATTTTTGGCTGGGAGGCGGGCACTGACACGAGTGAGGGCACACTAACGCTAGTCCTTTTTTATGCTCTAGACGTGATTGCTATCAGATTCAAATAGGCTTGCTGTATTTGCAGTGAGATACATTAAGGAAAGTACAAAGTCCAGTGGGCACACTAACACTAGTCCTCCTTTTTTATGCTCAGAGCCTCAGACGTGATTGCTATCAGATTCATCCAGCCTGGCCGTATTTGCAGTGAGATACGTTCAGGAAAGTATGAGGTCCAGTGTCTCACGTTCGTTTTTCTTTCCTTTTTTGAATCCCCAGCGTGCATGTGTTCCCACGTGGGCGGACACTCTTGGGGAAAACGAGTAGTCCATTCGGCCTTCTCTGTCAGGGCCACCACATTCTCCCCCATTGCGCTGCCGGCCTCCCCTCTCTCTCTCTCTCTCTCTCTCTCTCTCTCTCTCTCTCTCTCTCTCTCTCT